GTGTTGGTTTCTATGGCTCCTCAAAGGAGAACATATGAGCTATGGTCAATACTCATGGTTAATAACCATTAATAGGGGCTAGTCATCCAATGGTTCATAGGGATTTATAATAACCATTATAAGGATCCTTATTATGGATGGGATGACCATCAACCATATAGTGAGTATTGACCATGGCTCATATGAGAAAATGGTTGTGGTAAGGATTATACCATACACTATATTGATTTATTGAAGTAGATGGTATAACCCTTAAAAAAAACCTACATAAGATATGGTATCTTATACCTACTTCTACCCACAGACGCCGTGTGTTGCCCAGACATTAACATTGAGAATGTCGTGCTGTCGAATATGTGATAGGAGAGATTGCAGAAAATACTGCGTATACGCAGTGTTTTCCAGTTTAGGATTCAAAGTTTTCAGCAGAGCCTATGTTTTAGGGTTTGGGGTTTTAGGGTTTGGGGTTTTAGGGTTCGTCGTCTGGGAAATCTCAAAACACTGACCCTGCGCAGGTGTTTGAGCATGTTCAAACATGTTTAAACGCCATTTGAACCTTCCGGGCAACACACAGCGCCTGGCCGTACTTCTATAGTCAATCTTTTCTATTTTATTCGCTTTCAGGCTGGTGATATTCCATTCTCTCCCATATATGTATAAAAGTGTATAAAGATGTATACAGACATTCGGATTATACTGAGGATATAGCCAACAAGATGCAACACGCTTCTCCCAAGATATGGCCGTTTGAAGGGGGAACATGATTTCTGGTAAAGCTCTCAACAGAAGTCCTGGATTTCCTGGTAATCACTTTATTTTTGAATTGACATATGATATATATATATATATATGTATCATATGATATATATATATATTATATATGATACATATATATATATGATATATATATGATATATATATATGATATATATATGATATATATATATGATATATATATATATATCTATACACATACATCGAAATCAGCTGGCCGCATATTTGGTCCTTTGAATGACTTTTTCGGGAGCCTTGTGTTGGCCGCCCCGCCCCTCCAACCCTGTTTCGTAATGGGTCTGGCACGAAGTGATAGGGACAGACGTTGAGGAAATTGCCGGACAAGTGATGTCTGTCGTTGGAGATGGTTTGGATACGCGCAACAAATATATAGACATGTATGATCAAGAAGTGACCCGTAAGAAGTAAGTGTGGACTTGTCTATCTTCAATGCAAAGACTCAGGATCCAGTGATCATGTCCAGTTTTTTGCCGCTGCATCCAGCCTAATGTGGTAAACCCAGTAATTACTAAACATCCAGCTATGGAGGGTTTATACTACCTATTTCTTATTGGATGTAGCACATGAAGTTTTTCCCGATTTGTGATCATCGTGTTTTGCGCAAGAAACGAGAGCACTTGCTCAGCAACAGTATATTTTTTTTTCCAAAACATGAATTTCCACGCCTGCAGCAACAAACAATTATCAATTTGTTTTTTTTTCCCCCCTTTTTGGGTACCTTTGGATTTTCTCATGAAGTTGGGGCAGCGCGTTGCCGAGGCAGATGCCAACATTGAAGCACAAGGGCGATATCTGGCTGTGCTGATGTGCAAAAATGTGACTTGGAAGCACAGCCCGACGAACCGTAACGAATGCAACGACGCTATCCATGGAATAATCATGGAATTGGGTTGGTGATGAATTTTGATCCATACCCATATCGGTTTGTCTAAAAGAGGGTTCCCCCATTCCATCCACTGGTTTATCATAAATTTTCTCATTCGAATTGCCTTTTTGGGGTACCTTACTATCGGCGAAACGGCCTATTTATGATGTTTTCTGGCTGGGCCCAGGAACTATTTGCAGATTTCCAGGAACTGTTTTCCACGAACTATGTTTAATTTTTCCAGGAACTGTTGATGAATTCTCAGGAACTATTTATAAAGGAATGCAACATATTGAGGGAACATGATGATATAAAGAAGGTCAACCAAAGGGAAAACGGCAATACAACAGTTGCATGTTTTTTTTTGTCCAGGTTCCAAGTGATTTCAGCCCTATCAATCTATGATTCGGCACAGTTTGGCAGTGCATTTCGTTGGCTAAATTTGGGAGCCCCGGCTGATGATTCTCAGGAATCCAAGCCACCACAGTGGACTTTTATGCTCGCTTTTCAAGTTACACTTTGTGCATCACAAAAACAGCTATGAATCATATATCTTTAAAGGTCTGCATCGTCAAAAATATAGAAAAAAACATCGCCTTTATGATATGATATATCAATTGATCAGCAATATTGTGAGCAACTTTCTACAGGATTACTGTTGTCGAGAATGGAACAATGTTTCCTGTTGCCTGTCGTTACAAGGGTTTTATTGTAGAAACATGGCTTGGTGACTTCTTTGGCCCCTCCACGGATTTTACAAATAGATCCTTGGGCTTTATAAATAAGTCCCAGAATTCTTTAAATAGATCCAGGATAGGCATGGCCCCCTCACAGAAAGAGGCCAAAGCAGTTTGTAAGGTATACCCGGTATACCCCATTTTCAAACCTCCAGATGCAGATATTTTTCTGAGGTCATAGATCGACAGTGGCAACCTCGCAGGGTGCACAGCCGGTGGGCCGGGGTCGTGAAACAAACGCACTCCCTGGGTCCCTCAGGACGGTTTCATGCCATTCCACCGTTGTTTAGGCATAGAAACAACTGGGGAGAGATTGGCAGGCTATCACCATTGTTGCGCACAAAAAGTGTGTTCGTGATCCAATACCATCAGCTGTCTCCTGTCACAACTCGACCCCGGACATCGATCAAAAAACAAGTTGTGTTGGGATGATATAAATTGTGTAGCCCATTGTGACTAGAAAAAACCACCAATTAATAACCATATATCACAATTAATCACCAAAAAATGATTTGATACCTTGTAGCCATAAGAATTGGGGCAGAAGTTGAACCGTGAAGAATGGACTGATGCCACCCATGGGTCAACATCCAAGGGTTGGTTTCAAACGTTGGATTCACATCCCTACCAAGTGGGGCCCCCGTTTACGATAGCTAAGTTGGTTTATTAACTCCAATAGCTATGGCTTATGGCACTTATAACGAACTAGTTACTGGGGTTTATAAACCAACAAACATCACTGGGGGATTTCTCAACGGATATTCTTTGGGTTAGATCCAACACCTACCAGCAATCTCATCGAAGATCCCATTTGCACCGCAGATCTTGCCTCTCTCTCTGATGTGTGCAAGGTGCTAGCCATGGATAGCCATGAAAACATGAAAGGTATGTCCATTTTCGCATGTCTGACGTGGAGTTCAGCTATAGCAGCTACAGCTTCATTCAAATCAACCGAGGGTCATTGATCCGGGCACAGAGTTCTGAGTGGTCGATTTTGTATGGTGCTTGCAGGGTGCTTGCAGCATCTTGGAACCATTTGGAACCAGTAAACTCATCCATTCCCTGTGCCTTTGCCGCGCTGCTGGTGTTCCTATCACCGGGCGACATGACAGGCTGGGTGACCATGATTGCTGCGTTTCCTGAAGCCACACACACACACAAGACATTGCTGTTTGGAAAGCATCGCATGAAACAAGTAGCGGGCAGCACTGTACATATCATGGTCATGGGGGCACTACATGGCATTACAGGGTCACTATATGTGACTTACCCTCTGGTAAACTAACAGTTTGCTGTGGAAAATCAGCATCTTTAATAGGCAAATCAACATCAATCAACTATAAATGTGCCATTTTAAATTGCTATGTGGCTATGTGAGTCATTACCAGAGATGATTTCTTGATATCCCATGGGACTCCCGTCTCCCGTTACCACTTGCTGACCAAACCTGCTGACTCTGTGCGACCTCGGTGCACCTTCGCAGGGAAATCCAGTGACGGAGGCGTAGCCTGGGTGAACCAGGGGAAGCTCCAAGCCTTCAGGGTCTCTCGTCCGCGGGTCATGGTGATGACAACCAACATAATTTACAAGCAATGGTGATTATTGGTGACTATTGGTGATTATAGCTGATTATAGGTTTAAATGGTTCTTAGCCTCTATAGCTGTGGATATGACGTATGGCCAGGAACTATGGGAAGGAACTATGGAAGGAACTATGGAAGGAACTATGGAAATTTTGATGGAAATTTTGATGTAAATAATAACATGTAGAAAATAGAAACATATTAGCATATACATGCAGCATTAAGTTATATTATAAAATGTAGTATTATATAATTATTATATTAATTATATAATATATAAATATATTACATATATATTCTGATTCTTATTATATAAATATATATGGTAGACCACTACTAGTAATCAAACATGGCAATGGAAAATACATCATTGATAGGATATCTTCCAACTAAAACATGTCAAACATATTATAATACGAAAAAAATAATATATATTATATATCAAATTATTATATTATCATATTATTATATAAGAAATTAATTTCCATTGCCTGTTTGATTATATAAATTTAAATATGTTAATATGTTCAAATTATTTATACAATATCATGTTCATATAATCATATCATATCATATCATATTATATTTACATATCAGAAGACAGCTACAAGCATCACCAGCCATCAAACCTATCACCATACCACATCTCATCACAACACATCACATCACTGATTGATCAAAAACCTGCAGAATGCCATGCACCACAAAAATGCAACCTCAAACCCAAATCTACTCAATTGTGGTTGCAAAAAAAAAACTTTGTTTTCAGGTCCACCCTATTGTAAATGCCTCAATTTATGCAACGTGTTTGACAGAGCCGCCACTTCAGCAACATTTTTTCAATCTTGTCGCCAATGTTAGATCTGAAATCCCCATGGTCCTCATGGCCCCGGCCATTCTCTGAATGTGCCATTCACAAGACCTCAAAGCAAAGTATTAGTTTGTGGCCATGGTTTTCAAGCCACAAAAGAAAAACACATCGCGTCGCTTCTGTGTTGTCATCCCTTGCTATCCCACAACTCACTTGTGCTTCTTCTTGTCCTTCTTGTCCTTCTTGGCCTTGTCATGCTTCTCATTGCCCTTTTTGTCTTTCTTCGACTTCTTGGTGATGGATTTGCTCACCTTTTTGGCAGCCTTGGAGTGTCGGGTGCCAGGGTCACTGTCTGACTCATCCTCTGTGTCCTTGTCCTTGCCTTTCTTGTCAGTGACCTTGGCCTGCTTTTCACGGATCATCTTGGAAAGCTTGGTGGGAAGGCGACCTTCATCATACCCATACATAGTCTTGCAATGGGTAAGAATTGTGGTCAGGTCAGAATTGCCTGGCTGCAAGAAGTAGCCACAAATCATCACCACACTGGCGAGTTCTTTGGAACTGGCAACGGCCCCCTTCAAGACCTCGTAGACATGGGATGCCCTGCTGAGCAAACTGCGCATCTTCGTATCACTGGACCTGTGGTCGGTGAACCCCTCCAAGACCGGCAAAGTCTTCTCAGCACCCTCGAACTTCACATGCAACTCAGTGAAGTCTTTCTTGGCTTGGTCGCCCTCAAACAAGTTGCCCACCGCATCCATTTTCCAATCCATTGCTGCGTCATGCACCTTCCGGTACTTTTTGATGAAGTCTTGGATAGGCATCGTGAAGGAACCTTCACAACCCTCCAACATCTTTCCCATAGCAGCCTCAAAGCTGTTCTGCACACCTTCGGCCGCCTCCTTGAGAGTCTTCAGCATGGTATCGCCAATCAGCTTTGAAGCCAGGACTGAGAGAGCTGCTTCCACCTCCTTGAACTTGGGCACCAATTCCATCAAGTCTGCTGCAGACTGAATCTGCACTGCCACATTCGCCATAGATGACACAGAGCTGAGAGCCTTGGCCACAGGCTTGTGCTGTTTCATGAGCATCTGGTCATAATCCCAAGGTTTTCCAGGATCATCCATCATGAGCTTCAAACTCTTGGCACTCCCAACATAGCCAAGGGTGATGGCATGGTTGTGGACTGCCAACAGGGCCATGAAAGGCTTTTCCGTTTGCATCTCCTTCGATGTGACAAGTGACATCTCGGCCTGCGTGACTTTGGCCAAATCTCGCCCGTAGCCCATGTAGGCAAGAATCTGCTGGACTGCATCTTCCTCATCCGGCTCTTCAAACTCGGTGACACTCTTCCTCCAAGCCAGCATCACACGGTTGATGCCATGGGACTTTTTGGTCGGAAGCTCCATCTTTTCCAAAATCAAGCCTTGGGACTGCAAGTGCTGGAGTGTTGAACTAAAGTGTGCAAGCAAAGGGTGTGTTTACCCCTTTTATCAATTCATCAGTTATCCCGTTACCACACTAATCATTAACTGCCCAAAAACATAGCAAAGTGTTTCCAGGAGGTTTTGGATGAATACATATTTTGAAGTTTCCATTTTTTTCTATTTTGGTGTTACTATTATTATCACCAATTTTCTTTATCGCCCACTGTGGTGGAAAGGTGTATTGACAGCCGGCATTGAAATGCTGCAAAGAAACATCTGGTGAAGAAACCATGGTCCAAGTCGTCAGGAAGGGTGATGTCTGGAAACTTCCTTGGCAAGCGCAAAGGTGCAAGTGGGATATGATATGCTGAGTAATTGTTCTATAATCTATGGTTGAAACATGATTGAACAAAGCATAAACACACTCCATTCAAAAATATGTTTGTAAATCTACATTCACTAGACTATCGACAGTGTATTGTGAGCCATGGTAAACAAACAATGTCAAGTTGAATCGAAACACATCAAACACCTGATAATGATATAATATACGTGACTCGCTAGGGGTATGCATACATAGTCACATAGTTGGCTCATCTGATATTGATACAGTACTAAAGCCATCTTGACAGATTGAGTGTTGATTTAGATAAAGGGCGGGAGGATACATATCTCGATTCAGGAACGGGCATTACATTTGCGTCATGTTTGTTGTCCGTCACACTCATAGAATAGCAATAGAGAACCACAGAAATTAGTGATGTGCCCGCACAAACCCTCGAAAATGACCCTTGCAACCATAAGTGAATGAAAACAGGTTTATCAACGATCTTTCTTCGGAGGTAGTCACCTTTCAAGATTGTTTGATTACCCAATCACCCACCCTCAAAGATACAAAAGCAACTGGCCAAAAATCTCGTAGGAGTAAAAAAAATCTGTGTGGATGGACTCTGATACTGATTTACTGGAAATGTGACGTGTCTTGAATTGTTGTGGTGATTTGCATGTAAAATGTTTTGTTTGATAACGATATGATTGATGTTGGAACATGATTGGTGTATCTGAATGTGATTTGTTATGGCATGGTATAATTTGGTATAATTCAGAAAAATATAACTTTGTCATATCAATCAACACATCCAGGATACCCCAACCATGTTCATAAATTGTGACAACTTAAAACTTAAATTAAAACTTAACTTATTACAACTAACTTATAGCCTTTGTCAGGTCTTGCCTGACAATCAAACATGGCAATGGCAAAGCCCCTCGATGCCTCTGAAACGGGGTGGTCTACTGGGAAAGTCAGTCGCCTATAATTGGTGGATTTTCTTTTTCCACGTTGGATTCCCGGATTCTACATTATATTTTAATAAATGATTGAAGATAATTTAAATACACTATATATGACTATATGATCAATGTATCAAAATATACAATTCATATCATATCTTATCTATCATATAATTATTTAAAATTATAACATTGTTATCATTTATTGATATAAAGTATATTTTAAACAAATTACAGTACATGATGTTGCGTTTGAAGTATCATAGTATATCTATAATCGATAGATAGATAAGTAGATAAGGTATTAAATCTTAATATGTAATGTGATATGATATGTCATGCCAAATGAATATAGGCATATAATGTTCGATATCATAGTCATATATCGAATCATATATCATATAATTCAACAATAAATAAATCAATACATGTTACATATCTATATAATATTAAATGTATAATTTAAAAATATATATACATATTTTTATATATTATATAACTTTATATAACTTAACATATATATAATATAAGTATATAATAATATAATTTAAATTATCTTATCTTTTATTGAATTATAATTATAATATTATAGTCATAGTCTATTATTATATAATATGATTCGATTCATAATGTATGATTTAAATGGATATTATATATATATTATATGATATATGATGATATATTATATAATTATATAAAAATATTATAAAATTATATATATATAATAATTATATAATATAATGTTGATCATACCATATCATAGTTCAAATTATATTGTGCAAATATGACTCCTTTTAGCGCTGAGCCAAGTTTCTTGTCGGCCAGTGTTTTGATGTCAAGGTTGTCTAAGTTTTCCAGCGTCCAATCACCTGAGAAGCTGGTGATGCTGTCCACATTGCCCTCGTAATCTGGAGTCAGCACAGTGTCCATCCAGGTCTCAAGGCCTTGAAGAGACCCTTCCAAAGCTGTTGCTACCTCGACTGCCTCTTTAGCCGCGCTTCCCTGGAGCTTTTTGACAGTATCAGTGGCGTCCTTGATCTTTACCAAGGACTCGTCAAAGTTGTAGTCAGGACACTGCTCCAAAGCCAACTCCATAATTTGCTGGATCTCGTTCTGTTGCATGGTTGCCTTCGCCTTCAGCTCCGGGAACATAGCTGCCTCCACGCGGACATTCAAAACCTTCTGCCATAAGGACCTGCCCGTGCAGCACATGTTGGAACAATGCCACAGCACAAAGTGGAAAGTTCATTACAGGTTAGCAGTTAACGCTTGGAAAACGAATCAAACAACCATGTCATAATTTCAAGTATTTGATGTCAATAAACATAAGTGATATGATATGATGATATGATATGCGAAACTGCATTAAAATCGAAAAGGTTTGATTTACACCAGGACAACTGCTAAATGGTGAATACGCCTGGGTTGTGGAAGAGGATAAGTATCAGCCTCTCGTACTTACAATTAGTTATCATGAGAGCCTGCTTTAAAAGATCGCAGTGGCCAGTTGAAATTGCACCCTGCAACCTCCAACTTGTAGTATTTTGATGAAAGAAACAGAAACACAATCAACAACAGCTATGCAGTTGATGACAGCAGCCTTGCCTTTTGAATTCCTATGGCATACTGTACCCCATTCAGCCGGATCGTTCGACCAAAAACAATTCAGGGTCTGGTCTGTTGTTCAAACAACAGCATCAGATCAAAGATCCCTTTCGACTTGGTTGTATTTGACCAAGCTAAGAGATGCGCAAGTTGCACGTGACTCAGGGGAGGCCCGCAACAAGACCACCACTCGATTGCGGATTCTATCATCCAAGTACTGCAGGGCCTGTTTCAGGCGCTTGCTCTGTACACCCCCCACCGTCCTCATCTCATCACAATAATCCTGTATTTCCTTTACTATCTTCACTGGGCTTGTGCCTTGAAAAAAACGACCAAAGCCAGTGGCTTCTATGATTGTCAATCCAAGAGCCCATGCGTCACAGCGCGGTGTGAGAAGATCCTTCAGCGGCTTTCTGGTGTCCAAAAGCTCCGGAGCTCGGAAGGCTACAGTGTAGACATGTTCCTCAGATGGAAAGTTTTGAAAAACCCACTGAAACACCCGGAAAGGTATGGACCTGGAAGAAAAAGGCTCATGACAATTCCCATAGCATATCGTTATTCTGTGATTGTTAAGTTAGAATCCGGGTTTGCACTGACCTCTTCAAGTTAAGCCAATAGAAGCCGAAGTGGCCCACATGTCAAAACACAACAAATAGGATAAGTGGATGTGTTTTCATGTCCATGTGTGCAAACAAGACATCATGGATCCTGAAACATATGAACTATGAACTTATCAAGAGTCATGAGTCATGAGTCATGAGTATGAATGAATCACCGGTCAATGTGAGAAAGAAACAATCTCGAACAGAATCAAACATTATCAATGTTGGGAAGGACCTGGATTCCCATTGCAAGTGTGATTGTCTTTGACGGTAGTATTGACTGAAAATGTTATAGTGTCCAACTGGTGGTTTCCCAAAATGGTCCAATGGTGCACCTCTGTTAGCCACCATATGGACATGAACAATTCCAAAAGCAGCAGGGCAACATCACATGACGTTGAAAAAAATGTAAATAACATTCGCTGTGTTCAAAAGCTCTTGTTCTTCTGAAGACACTAAGTCACTAAGGGAATGCTTACTTATGGGGCAGTTTACACACTGCTTGCGTGCCCACAGTTTTAGCTTATGCGAGCGCAAGAATAGGTTACGGAACATCACAACATGTTAGCACAAAAGCCATGTTAAACTGCCAACGATCTTATCATTGCCATGTTAGACTATGCCCTTCCTGCAGCTCCATCCATCCATGCATCCATTGCTAGAGCTTTCACATGTAACATCTTCTAGTGCCAGCTCATTCCACCATCCCAATACAGAACCCTGACACCAAATGTAATCGTTCTTGTCGATGGCAAGCCCTTCAATCTCCAAAATAAGGACATGCTTACGCCATTGCTTACGCTTTGCTTGCGTGCACACAAGTTTTTGCTTACTCGGGTATCTTGTCTTACTCTGAACTTTTGCTGGCTTGCGCTCATCAGAGTTTGGCTCACGCCACACCCTTGCAAGGGGCCCGTTCCTACGCAAAAGTTTAGAGTGTGGATCACTTTAGTACTTTCCCATACTGTATATACTGTATACTGTAGTAATACTCGTCTATGACACATATATATATATATTTATATATATACAGATACAATATCAACCCCGGATTGCCAAACCGTGGTTTATTAACAGGTGGTACTCCCCGAATAGTTGTAAATGATACTAGTAGTTGTGAGATGAGTTATAAATCAGTATGTTTTAAGTTCTAACATTGAAATTATACCCCCCAAATTAAGAAGCCGCATTAGGGGTTTATTACTCCAGGGTTGACATTATATAGATATAACAATATTGTATATACTAGACAATAAATATATATATATATACAAACATACACTATATAATTTTATGATTATATAATAATATATTATATTTTATATAATCATATAATATCATATAATATTATCATATTCATATTATCATATAAATATACAATGTCAACCCCGGATTTATAAGTCATTGTTTATTGGTAAGGGGTACCATCCAAATAGGTTTTTAGGTTTATAATCGACAGTTTTAAAAGTTGTAAAACATAGTATAGTCTCGTCATAGTTATATTGAATCGAATATCTAAATGGCAGGCACTCCCTTAATGCAGAAGCAGCCTAGCCTAGTGGCTTATTACTCCAGGATTGACATTATTATTATATATACTAATAATGATTATTTGTATAATATAAAAGAAATAAAAATGAATATAATATATATATCTCTCTCGTGAAACTTTTCGTGGTCCGCTTCATGTTGACCTGGATGATCACAGTACCAGCGATGCATTCCCAAACACAAAAATTGTCACAAGTTTTCCCAAGTGAAACAAAATCCCAAAGCTGCATGTTGTCCAATGACTGGAAAAATGATCCCATCCCATGTGAACATCACACACTCTATGACAGTGAACCATGGATATTGCAGTTGCCGGTGGGGCATTCTGTCCATAGTCTAAACATTCAAACATGTTACATGTTGTGTGAGCCCATGTTCTTCTGCAATCAATACCGCAATACGGCAATACCTATTACCTATTTATCAACCTATAGAAATGCACAAACATTATCTAAAAATTATTGCCAATGAAGTAGCTCATCACTGCAGGAGAAAAATCATGGCACTGCAAAATGTTAGTTTGGTTCAGGCTCCTTCGGGTTCACAATACATGTTCAAACTCAGCTAAAGCAGTGCCTTCAGTGTGTAAATATTATGGATTGATTATTGATTGCTTTTACCTTACTTTCTAGACATAAAAGCCAGCAAAGTGATGTGGCTAAAAAGCTTGCCTTTAGTTCCCGGACCGTCATGATGGACCACAGAGCGCAGGAAAGCATTGAAAGCAATGTGCTAAAGTAAAGTTTTAAGTGAGTGAAACTCAAGCTGGCAATACAATGTGAAGTTAAATATCAACAATTTATACACTGTGAAGTTAATTACTACAAACATTGAACTTAATAGTGTATTCCCAGCTTGAGTTTATATGATATTATTTATGTATTTATGTATTATAAATCAAAATTACAACTTATAATTATATTACTTAACTTATATTAGACTATATTATAATAACTACTATATATATACAAAATATCATGTCACATTATCGTATTATATAGTTAGTCGACAGTTTATTAATAAAAGACATCAAACATGATTTATATAGTTTAAACATAGTCAATATTATTATAAAAACACTAAACATGTTATATCAAATCATATCATATTCATATATATATATTATATTATATATATCATATATCATATAAATCTAGAATATTAATATGAAATTTTATTAATATTGTTATTATGATATGCAATAAATAAAACATAAAATAATTATATGATACTAATACTGATACACAACATTCTATGATTATATAGTGTATATGATATATAATATTATATGAAAATAAAGTAAATTAATATTATAATTATACGTTATCATAAATTAATTGCATTTTCATTTATATTGAATCTGCCTGCATGCATATATATATATATTCTAATATATATTATATATAATTATATAATATAATAATATAATATATCATAAAAATCTAAAAATATGCTTGTTGAAAGTAAGTAGAACTGTAGAAATGTAAATAATTTTGATGGAATCTTTCTATATCCCGTCTTCATCTATCTAGCAAAGATTTTCAGAGTATATTGAACAGTCGTTTAAATACACCGTGTTCTATCTATGTCTGTCATAGATAAACTGCAGATCAAATCATATCATATCATATCGAATCAAATCATATCATATCAAATCATTTCATGAATCAAAATCTAATCGTACAGAAAAATATCATATATTCATTCAGATCATAATATCATATGATCATAGCAAATCATATCAAATCATATTATATCCTATCATGTCAGTCATATCAAATCATATCGAATCGAACCATGGCTCAAAACCATCAAAACAAATCATATCATAATATCATATCATGTCAGATTCATATCATGTCAGATTCATCTCACATCATATCAATACCATATCATATCATATAATATAATTATAATTATCATCATGTAGAATCACCACATATCATTCATCATCATCATATATCATCATCATATATGATCAAATAATATCATCTAATAATAATATATAATTGAAATATTTAATATTTATAATTTATAATTATATAATTTATATAATATAATATAATATATAGTTTGACAATCAAAAAATATCATCATATAATCATATCATATCATATCATATCGAATCATATCATATCATCATATCATATCATATCGAATCTTATATCATATCAGGTCATCATATCAATATTGTATCATTATCATAACTTATATAACTAATCATAACTGAATCCTAACCATATCTTTTCTATCAGAATGTCATTTCATATCATCTTAACAACCAAGTAAAGTGTGGCACCTAGAAAATATGCTGGAAACCTCATCTATACCGATACCATCCCAGAATCATTTGTTCTATCTGTTGGGGTTGCATTGTCTATAGTAAAGTATATATTTGAAAGGCTATGATGACATTGACATTACTTTTAATGCAGCCAAGCAACAGGCTTTTTGCCTTCAGACACCGGAAGGCGAATGGCAATGCCAAAGTCAATTATGTAGAAACTGAGGTCATAGGGACTGAACAAAATGTTGCCCGGCTTCAGGTCCGCATGAATGACATCCTTGGAATGGAGGTAGGCAAGGCCATCCACTAGCTGTGCAAACATGGCACATTGCCCGACCCCATCCAGCTTCTGGCCTGAATGGAGCCAGCTGAACAAGGAGTGGGGCAAGTAAGGCATGACAAACCAGCTCAGCCCTCCATGGACAGTGAAGGATTGGATAACTTTCAGAAATGCAGGGTGGTCCAAGCTCTGCAAGATGCTGATCTCGTCAATGAGGGTGTGTGTGACTGTCTCGATCTTTGCAGCAAACTGTTTGAATGATGTAGCGTGTTGGACTAGATATACAGTGCCGTAAGCTCCACGGCCTCCAGCACAGACTGACTTAACAATGTACTCGCCATGGCCCAAAGAAGCAATTGGGACCTTGCGAGGGTGAAAGCAGGGCCAGAGTGTATTGTGATTCCCATTTCTCATGCTGCTGCATGGACTTGCATGGATGGATAAAAAACACGAAATCTAGATTGGATTGGCTAGACTAAGAGATAACTAGATAATTTAGTTATATAATATAATATATAATATAATATAATTATATAGTAATATAATATAATATATATATATATATATTATATTATATATTTATATAACTTATAACAACCAACTAACTAACTAAAAAGTCTTTGGCTTGACATGACATGGTAATGATACATTGAAACTTATCTTCAGTCGAACTGATCATTAACAACTAGAGCCTAGAGCCTAGAGCAATTGTATGGCCAGTTGCTTTGAGCACTGCAACCGTGAAGTGAACCTGCCCACCTTGTAGAAGAATGTTGGCAAAAATTCAGAACTCTATTTACAAAACCAGACTGTACCATGTGACTTTGTAAACCCAAGTCCTCGGCGGCAGAAGGATCTTCCTCCTGTCCAGGCATTGCTCGCAGCGCTTCTGCCTCACTAAGACCAGTGTAACTGGCCTTCTGTGCTTTCGTCATTGACTTCCATCTCCGTGTTGCAGCAAGCACACTTTGTCCAGTCTCTTCACAAAAAGAAGCAAAAGGGCCTTTCTTGTTGCTGGACTTCAGCAGTTTGTTCTGAGCAGCTGCTTCGTCGCCTTGTGCTGTACATTGCAGTTGCGTTTTGCGAAGGGACACTCCAGCTGCAGCACTTTCTCGCCGTTGCTGGAGAAAACTATTCTTGGATTTCTCTATGTATGTGTTTTTCTCTTTGGAAGAAAGCTTCTTCCACCCTTGGCTAGCATCTTGAACTCGCAAGCCCATTTCTTTGCAGTACATTGCAAATGGCCGTTGAGCTTTTGCCACCAAGCCTGCAGCAGTGGCCCGCAGAAGTGGCGTCACTCTCTTCTTTTTCTGTGCTGTGACTTCTTCTGGCTCTTTCTGCACCTCTTCCATTTTCATTTTCTTCATCTTCTTTCTTTTCTCTGCAGTGTCAGTGCCTTCAGCTTCTGGCTTTTCCTTGACTTCTTCAAAGTCGTATTCTTCCTTTTCTTGCTCTTCTGTGGCTTCTTCAACGGCCTCTTCTTCATCTTCTTGCTCTTCCATGGCCTCTTCAACGGCCTCTTCTTCCTTTTCTTGCTCTTTCTTGGTCTCTTCAATGGTCTCTTCTTCCTTTTTGTGCTCTTCTTTGGCCACTTTCTTTCGCAGTTTCTGAATCTTCTTCTCTGCACTTTTTTGCTTGTCCAGCGCTTTCTTCACTTCCCGTTTCTGCACATTGCTCGCTGGTCTCTTTCGAAGACTAGAGCTACTTGAAGGGGCAGCTTCCCTCTCAAACTCAGCAGGCTTCTGCTTCCCACGCAAACGTGAAGACACCATGGCTTTGTCCAGCCAGCTAAGGAATTGGAGGTAGTTGCTTTTGGGAATCAAAAGCCATCATGATAACGTAGTCAGAGTCAGACTAATTATCTAATTATTATATAATATGGCACGGCATGGCCCTGGCTGTTGTTCATTGCCATTGTTCACTGCAAATGCGTATGTTGTCTCTAGACCGGGATTCATACAAAAACGATGGTCTTTTGAATGGATACAAGTAAGGAAACGCTCAGTTTCAACAACCTTCTGATTCAAATATGAATAATAGTCCATGGTTGACAAGAACATGAATGCATAATGCAGCAGCCAGTGTGATGGCTTGCCATTGAAAAACCCTACCTTGAATTGCACAAATCATAGGTTTTCAGCCAAAGCTATTGTACCTTTCTACCACTGTGTTGACACCTTTCTATTGGATGCATATCACTACCTAAAGCACATGTGCCCACATGGTGGTTTCCCAAAATGGTGGTATCCCAAAACACATGGTTCGTAAAGTAGATGATTTGGTGTACCTCTACTTTAGGAAACCTCCACATGTGGAATGTAAACTAGTGATCTGATATGTGATATATCATAGGATGTATGACATGCCGTGGCGCATGAAGGATATGGGTTTGTCCGAAAATAGGAAATACCCCCACATGGCTATCTCAACGGAATACCTCATCAGATCAATGTTAGGCTAGGTAAGTATAGTATACAGTATATGGTAAAACGGAGATAACGATAAATAACCCTATTATAATTATATAATATTTTATATATAATTATATTATTATATACCATATATAGTCATACATGTTACATATATATATATATATTATTTATATAATTATAAATATAATATGTTGTGGCCTGTTGTGGATCTTGTTTAAATAACCAATGCAGTAAACATACAAGCCCTGAGTCCCGAGTCAAAAATATAGTCATTCCCTGAGTACAGAAAAAGCTATGGAGCAAAGCGAATCTAGCAAATTCATGTCATGTCTAAAGAAATAGCTATTAACTGGACTCTCAGATTCCAACATCCCCAGAGGAGGCCTCCAATCAGGCTGGGATGCAATGATGTTGATTGCTTTCGAGGAGAAGCTCTCACAAGCACCAACCTTCGCAATGTAATTCATGTCCACAGGTGCATTGGGGTCCTTCGCAAGGCTCTGCATCTCCACGCATGCAAAGATCTTCTGGAGATCAACAACCACGCCCCATGACAGACCAGCTTTGTTCTCGTAGTCACTGATGCTGTCGGACTGGTCTGGTTTGGGCAGCCTCCAGCAAAAGCAAGGGCTGGAAAGAACACAGAAAGCAGCATACAAACATTTTATCCTCCCAATAGAAGTGACCCCCCCAGTTTGAAGTTGTTTGATAACATCCATTGCCATTACAGTAACTACTATACCGACTATACCAATACCAACATCAATGTCAATATCTGTCAACATCTACCAAATCAAAAATCTATAAATAATCTAATCTATCATATCATCAGATCATATCATCATATCATATCATATCATATCGTATCTATCTATAATCAATCGTTTAAATTTCAAACCATAGTGGACCTAGATATTGACCAGCTTCGCTATCTAAGGAGCGCCGCTTTGCCTTGCACAAAAAATAATCGCTTTTTCTATGATCGGAACTATATCAAAATCAAATATCATATATCAATCAAATGATAATATTATATGTTAAGTTATGTTTGATTGATTTCGATTTTATATTCAAAGCACCACTATATAATCATTTTATATCATCATATATCATATGTCATATATCACCTCATATATCAGGGAAAATATCTCAAATTTCAAATACACTATAGACTATATAATATGTGAAAATTTTACAATTATTTTATATATAGTGTTGATGATTATATGAATGTTAAATATCAAATTTTACGTTTATTATATCAAATATCATTTATATGATATGATTTATATTATGATATAAATATGATTCGATTTATATGAAATCAAGTAAATCATATAAATCGAATCATATCATATAATTCGCTATGAAATCGAGTTTAAGTATATGATCAGAATTCATAAAAACATAATTCATATCATATATCATATAATCTATGTAACATGTACAATATAATACGACTACTAAAATATTATATATTTATATTTATATTTATATATATATTATTATATAATATTATATAATACAATTTATATAAATATCATGAATCATGAATCATGAACCATAAATGACACAGACTTGAGACTATAGACTAACGAAATAAATCTAAACCCTAGTCACAGTCTAAATGACTTGTTATATCATAATATGATGTTAAGATAAGAACATAAAACATATAAAAATATAATTTAATATATTCAATAATTAGATTAATAAATATATTAAATATAGTCGAGTCATAGTATAGTAACAGTATCAGTATATAACAGTATGTATATATATACACTCATACACATACTGATACTGATACTAATAAAAATATAATTGGTATTGATAATTGATATTGATAGATATAGATATTTTGTATATTAATTAACTAAATTATAATATTATAATTTAATTATAATATTAATATTATATTACATATTATATTAAATTATATTATATAATATCATATATATATATTTATATAATATAATATAATTTTACATTAAATTATATATTATATTATTATTTAATTACTTTCTTAGCTTACCGACTTTTACTTATACTTAAACTTATACTTATACTGATACTTAAACTTATAATAAAACATGATCAAACATAAAAGAACATGCTTACAGTCCAGCGCTAGCTTACAACATTATTTAATATATGAAGTTACCACACGACATGTAGACACTCTTCAAGACTGGTACGCCATGCTCTATCATAGTAACAAAATTTCTTGCCAGGTCGCCACTTCTTCTGATCAAGAAAGTCTGGAAGTCGCAGCTCAGATGGCAAAGTCTTGGCAATCAGGCTGATGCTGGCACCATTTCGGATCTGATCCATCCACTCCTCAGCTGCAACCTGCTGGATTCGCAAAAGTGTCCTCCAAACTTTCTCCTTCATCTCTGGATCCTCGCAAGGAAGGGTTGTCACGAACCATTGCAGACGAAATGTCTCGCAAGCTGAGTCAACATTGTTGTACGTTCGGATGAAGTCAAAGAAAGGCCCGACCTTAGGTGGGCGGCTTTGGTGCTATTTTCATTCTTTCACAGATATGAGGCAGCTGTACCTATATACCCTCAGGGTAAAATGATACTTTGTTGATATAAACGATCACACAGTCACATTCGTGTTTGCATATATTGATCCAATCCCCATAACTGAATAGGCTTGCAAACTTGCATCAGCACCCTCAAAATCACAATGAATCATACTTAGTTGAAGTATGTCTTCGGATTTTAATATAACAAAAAACACTGCGCTAAATACATTTAAATGGTGGTCTCCTAAAATGGGTGTGCACCAAATCATCCAAAATTAGAGCATTCTTGTATTGAAACCTATGGTTTTGTGGATCCCCCACTTTCAGAACCCCCCAGAAAGCATATTTAAACTGGCTATCCACAGAGCTCAATCTATTTCTGCAATCAAGCAAGACCAGAACACACTTGGCGTGTCTCTGATGTTGTGTCTGCTATATGTGTGTGTGTGCAACCTATTTCTGTTTGAAGTCGCTTCTGCTGACAGCTGAATAGATCTGATTGAAATGATGGAATTTGAAGTTGATCTGGTATGTATGTTTCGATTGTAATTACATGTTGAACATACATCCTGAGTCATCATGTGTAATTCTGTGTAATGTGTAATATAATATAATTAATTTATAATTATATATAATATAATAATATAATATAAAACATATATCATTTTGACTATCATGGGTAATCTGACTGGAATTGGTGATTTCCTAAAATGCTGGTACCAAAATTGGATGATGAATAACAAAGTGTTGAAACCTGTCATATATCATAGAATGAATCATATAATTAATCGTAGAATCATATAATCATATAACATATATTATACTGTATACTCTATATTTTATTATATATACAATAAATTTGTGCTACATGGAAGCTATGCAAATTTTGAGAAACTATTATATTTTTTGAACTTTCTCAAAAAATATCTTTCCTACCGTCCTTAGAGTTTCTATATGGCAAGGAGCTTCAGTAGCTTCCACGCCACATCTTGTCCACACACCAGCACACAAACAACATGGAAGCTAATTTGTGCTACATGGAAGCTGTGTAAATTTAAGGAAATTCAACAATCATTACCTAGTGCTTCTGTGGTCAAAGTAGCTTCGGTAGCTTCCACGTCGCACATTGTCCACACACCTGCACACAAACAACATGGAAGCTAATTTGTGCTACATGGAAGCTATGCAAATTTTGAGAAACTATGATATTTTTTGAACTTTCTCAAAAAATATCTTTCCTACTGTCCTTAGAGTTTCTATATGGCAAGGAGCTTCAGTAGCTTCCACGCCACATCTTGTCCACACACCAGCACACAAACAACATGGAAGCTAATTTGTGCTACATGGAAGCTATGCAAATTTTGAGAAACTGATATATTTTTTGAACTTTCTCAAAAATATCTTTCTTGCTGTCCTTAGAGTTTATATGGGAAGGAGCTTCAGTAGCTTCCACGTCACACGTTGTCCACACACCAGCACACAAACAACATGGAAGCTAATTTGTGCTACATGGAAGCTATGTAAATTTAAGGAACTTAGTATCTTGTTGGGTAGTTAAGCAACAATCATTACCTACTGCTTCTGTGGTCAAAGTAGCTTCGGTAGCTTCCACGTCGCACGTTGTCCACACACCAGCACACAAACAACATGGAAGCTAATTTGTGCTACATGGAAGCTATGTAAATTTAAGGAACTTATTATCTTGTTGGGTAGTTAAGCAACAATCATTACTAATCATTACCTAGTGTTTCTGGGATCAAAGCAGCTTCGGTAGCTTCCACGTCACACGTTGTCCACACACCAGCACACAAACAACATGGAAGCTAATTTGTGCTACATGGAAGCTATGTAAATTTAAGGAACTTATTATCTTGTTGGGTAGTTAAGCAACAATCATTACTAACCACTACCTAGTGTTTCTGGGATCAAAGCAGCTTCGGTAGCTTCCACGTCACACGTTGTCCACACACCAGCACACAAACAACATGGAAGCTAATTTGTGCTACATGGAAGCTATGTAAATTTAAGGAACTTATTATCTTCTTGGGTAGTTAAGCAACAATCATTACTAATCATTACCTAGTGTTTCTGTGATCAAAGCAGCTTCGGTAGCTTCCACGTCACACGTTGTCCACACACCAGCACACAAACAACATGGAAGCTAATTTGTGCTACATGGAAGCTATGTAAATTTAAGGAACTTATTATCTTGTTGGGTAGTTAAGCAACAATGAATCATTACTAATCATTACCTAGTGTTTCTGTGATCAAAGCAGCTTCGGTAGCTTCCACGTCGCACATTGTCCACACACCTGCACACAAACAACATGGAAGCTAATTTGTGCTACATGGAAGCTATGCAAATTTTGAGAAATTATCATATTTTTGGAACTTTCTCAAAAAATATCTTTCCTACTGTCCTTAGAGTTTCTATATGGCAAGGAGCTTCAGTAGCTTCCACGCCACATCTTGTCCACACACCAGCACACAAACAACATGGAAGCTAATTTGTGCTACATGGAAGCTATGTAAATTTAAGGAACTTAGTATCTTGTTGGGTAGTTAAGCAAGAATCATTACCTAGTGTTTCTGTGATAGAGGCAGCTTCAGTAGCTTCCACGCCACATCTTGTCCACACACCAGCACACAAACAACATGGAAGCTAATTTGTGCTACATGGAAGCTATGTAAATTTAAGGAACTTAGTATCTTGTTGGGTAGTTAAGCAACAATCATTACTAATCATTACCCAGTGTTTCTGTGATCAAAGCAGCTTCGGTAGCTTCCACGTCACACGTTGTCCACACACCGGCACACAAACAACATGGAAGCTAATTTGTGCTACATGGAAGCTATGCAAATTTTGAGAAACTATGATATTTTTTGAACTTTCTCAAAAAATATCTTTCCTACTGTCCTTAGAGTTTCAATATGGCAAGGAGCTTCAGTAGCTTCCACGCCACATCTTGTCCACACACCAGCACACAAAAAACATGGAAGCTAATTTGTGCTACATGGAAGCTGTGTAAATTTAAGGAAATTAATATCTTATTGGGTAGTGAAGCAACAATCATTACCTAGTGTTTCTGTGATCAAAGCAGCTTCGGTAGCTTCCACGTCGCACATTGTCCACACACCTGCACACAAACAACATGGAAGCTAATTTGTGCTACATGGAAGCTATGCAAATTTTGAGAAATTATCATATTTTTGGAACTTTCTCAAAAAATATCTTTCCTACTGTCCTTAGAGTTTCTATATGGCAAGGAGCTTCAGTAGCTTCCACGCCACATCTTGTCCACACACCAGCACACAAACAACATGGAAGCTAATTTGTGCTACATGGAAGCTATGTAAATTTAAGGAACTTAGTATCTTGTTGGGTAGTTAAGCAAGAATCATTACCTAGTGTTTCTGTGATAGAGGCAGCTTCAGTAGCTTCCACGCCACATCTTGTCCACACACCAGCACACAAACAACATGGAAGCTAATTTGTGCTACATGGAAGCTATGCAAATTCTGAGAAACTATGATATTTTTTCAACTTTCTCAAACAATATCTTTCCTACTGTCCTTAGAGTTTCTATACGGCAAGGAGCTTCAGTAGCTTCCACGCCACATCTTGTCCACACACCAGCACACAAACAACATGGAAGCTAATTTGTGCTACATGGAAGCTATGCACATTTTGAGAAACTGATATATTTTTTGAACTTTCTCAAAAAATATCTTTCCTACTGCCACTACTGTCCTTAGAGTTTCTATATGGGAAGGAGCTTCGGTAGCTTCGACGCCACATCTTGTCCACACACCAGCACACAAACAACATGGAAGCTAATTTGTGCTACATGGAAGCTGTGTTAATTTAAGGAAATTCAACAATCATTACCTAGTGTTTCTGTGATCAAAGAAGCTTCGGTAGCTTCCACGTCGCACATTGTCCACACACCTGCACACAAACAACATGGAAGCTAATTTGTGCTACATGGAAGCTATGTAAATTTAAGGAAATTCATATCTTGTTGGATAGTTAAACAGCAATTACTAATCATTACCTAGTGTTTCTGTGATCAAAGCAGCTTCGGTAGCTTCCACGTCACACGTTGTCCACACACCGGCACACAAACAACATGAAAGCTAATTTGTGCTACATGGAAGCTATGCAAATTTTGAGAAACTATGATATTTTTTGAACTTTTTCAAAAAATATCTTTCCTACTGTCCTTAGAGTTTCTATATGGCAAGGAGCTTCAGTAGCTTCCACGCCACATCTTGTCCACACACCAGCACACAAACAACATGGAAGGGTTTTTTCTGCTACATGGAAGCTATGCAAATTTTGAGACTGTCCTTAGAGTTTCTATATGGGAAGGAGCTTCAGTAGCTTCCACGCCACATCTTGTCCACACACCAGCACACAAACAACATGGAAGCTAATTTGTGCTACATGGAAGCTATGCACATTTTGAGAAACTGATATATTTTTTGAACTTTCTCAAAAAAAATCTTTCCTACTGTCACTACTGTCCTTAGAGTTTCTATATGGGAAGGAGCTTCGGTAGCTTCGACGCCACATCTTGTCCACACACCTGCACACAACCTACCTATCTGGAAGCTAAAAGATGTTACATGGAAGCTATGCAAATTTGAGGAACTTTGTAGCTTTTTTAGTTGACAGTTGTCTGAACAAGAATCCAGAATCATTAGTAAGTAATGTTTGCTTAGTGCTTTTGAAGCTGAAACATGTTGCATGCGAGCTAAGGTGCATTTTGGTGAAAGATATCTGTCCAATGCGGTGCAAACAAATATGTGAGGACTGGCAGGACTGATTGATTTTTGATTTTATGTTAGTACCAGCTTCCACGTAACATCTTGTGCACATATCTGTGGAAATCCAAGCTTCATGGAAGTTAAAGTTATAAAATTATATGCTAGCAAAAAGTGATATGTGATAGATATATTATATATAGGCGATAAAAGTGATATAAGTTATATAACTTGTAAGTTGTATAATCGTTATAGTCATAAATTATAAATAAGTTTTAATTATAAGGTTCAAGTTGTAAGTTATAGGGCTAATAGTCATAGTTATTTATAGTCGTTATACGTTATAACATAAGTTTTTAACTACTTTCTTATACTGTACTGTATACTTATAGGCTTATATATAGGAAGTTATAAGTATCAGTACGAGTGATGTTATAAGTATGAGTATGAGTCGAGGCTATAAGTTATGAGTCATGTAATGTAGGTCATGAATTAAGTTATGAGTAAAGTTATGAGTCATGAGTCAAGTTATGGGTTCAGGTTCTAAGTTCCAAGACGACTTATGACCTGATGACTCATAACTCATAACTACTCAACAATTACCTTAGAACTTAGAATTTGAAGTTGTTATGAGTTGTGAAATATGAGTTATTGAGTAGTTATGAATGAGTTATAGTTATGAGTCATGGGCCAAATGGGTCATGAGTTATGATGTAGAGTCATTAGTCAAGTCATGAGTAATGAGTTATGTTGTGAGTCAGAGGCATAGTCTATGTCATAGTCATAGTCTATAGTCTATAGGCTATAGTCGTGAACTGTAAGTATTGCAAATGATGAGCTTACATTTTTCTGTCTAAAGTTAAGCATGCCAAGGCACATCCACCAGCTTCTTGGCCACAAAGAGCAAGATCTCACGCAGGGTTGCGGAATCTTCAGCCATGCGCTTGCCAACCACAAAGTCATTGGCTGCCAGCAGTTTGCTCAAAGTGCCACCTGCCTCAGTCACTTCAAGCACCAAACAGCTGGGCTTTGCGCTCCTCAGCCATCTGCAAACCTCCTTCATAGACATCACGAACTGGTTCTGCTCCTTGATCTTGGACACAGTGGTCTTTGCATCAGCAATGGCCGCTGCATCAATCTCCTGGGAAGACATCGTGCTCTCCAGATGTGACACCACAGCGGATTCTCTGCCCAGCCTTCGATCCACTTCATGTGCACGCACACATGATTTCCAAAGGGTGTCAGCACGAAGCTCTTGGACGGTCGCCAAGTACTTTTTTGCAGCGTCGTGAGCTGACTCAAACTTTTCCACTTCGGCCCCTGCCTTCTTTGCACTTCCAGGAGGAGTTTTTGTTTTTGCCTTTGCTTTGGCTGTCGAAGAAGCTCCCGTACTCTTCCTCTTTGGCGGAGCTGGCTTCTTTCGGTCTGGGCTCCCTTTCTCACTTGCATGCCCAAAGCTTGACTTTGAAGATGAATCCGAAGAATCGCTTGAGCTCTCCGAATCACTTTTGTCTGCATCATCGGCTTCCTTTTCAGCACGCTCCATCTCCTCCTGCACGCAGGCTCTTCAAACAATCAGCGCATTGTTCGTTTACAGTCAAGTAACTCGCTGAATCTACCATGATGAATGAATCACGATATGAATAGCTATTTTATTATAGTAATGTAACAATATTACTACTATGAAATAAAATAAAAATACATATTCATCACATGAACATATCATAATTTATATAATATATATATATATATACACATACATACTTACATACATTTATGATTTATAAATTTTATACATAATATAAATGATATATGATTGTATGATGATATGTTCAAGTGATGACTATTTATTATATAAAATAGTATAGCCAGTATATATAGCTTATATAATACCATTATGATCATATGATATGATATATGCATATATCATGCGGATTTACCCACCAAGGTGACCCCACAATATTACATTGTTACTCTTATTTGGTTTACCTTTATTTTGGCTATTGTTAACCTCTATAGTCTATAGTCTATAGTCTAGTCTAAAAAATAGTAAGGAGACTTGTGTGGTTCGCAATCAACCATGCCTTACAGAGAGTAAATACATGGACACATCCTCACAAACAGTCTTGCTTAGGCTAATATATGTAGTCTTGCTCTTGAAATTCAGTGCCTGCCTAAAAGGAATCTGAAGCACCTGGAACGACAACCAAACAGTAGTGGCTTTGACAGTAGCCAAACCAGACTTGAATCGGATGCGTTTGTCAAGCATAGTCTAGTAATCATTTTTTGATCAATCAACATAGACCCTGGAAATCAATTTGAAAGGAATGCATTTGGAATTGGAATGCAGTCTTAAAATACCATTGCGTATGCCGCCTATTTATGCTAATTCGGAGGAAGGTATCTCATTTACAAGAACTACATGGACATGTTACTGCTAAATTCAACCTGACTAAGCTGCACTGTTTTATGAAATAATGTTTGAAACATAAGTAACATGCACTCGAACAATAAATGGTATTTCGATTACATCAACAACCATAGCTGGGCTGCAAATGATACACTTATTACTGTTGGCACTTATGGCCAAACTTATGGCTAACAATTAAAAATGATTCACAGCATCACTTATAACTTATAACTTATAACTTATATAAACTTGTAACTTATAACAACTTATATAACTTTATAACTACTTATAAATTATAACTTAACTATTATGATAACCCTATAACTATAACTTATATAGTAACAGTTACAACAAATGATAGATGATAAAACTTCAAAGAAATAATATTCTATATTATTAATATTATATTATTATTAGTGTTATAGTCATAGTCTATAGTCTATAGTCTATAGTTATTAGTTATTAGAGAGTTATAAATACTGATATCATTGGATTATATACTGTACTGTATCAAGTCAAATCATATAATGACTGACTCAAATATGACTATGAGACTATCTATGAGTATGACTCTGACTATAGACTATGACTATGACTCTATGACTATAATAATAGCCGCTTAGCTTAACTAATTACTATGTGCAATGCTGCGTGGCAAAAGTGATTAAGTGACACTTTTTGGGTCAAGTATGGCCAAGAGACCTAGAATTGGTGATTGAAAAGGTCACCTTGAATATAAAATCAACCATCCCAGAGGTCTTTCCTCATAGAATGAACCAGCGTCCAGCGTTTAAAAGAACATGTAAGACAAGACTAAAGACTAAGTCTTACTAAGTCTTAACAATGTTTCACAAAGGTGCGTCCAGATAGATCGAAAAACACAAAGCACAATTCATATGAGTGGTAACAAATCTATCTATGATATCAATATCAATGTCAAACCAAACAAGCACATCACATATTATATCAAGTTAGATCAGATCCTACTTTGGATGGAAGAAATACTGCATCGTTTAGAAACTCTTAGGTAACTATGACTAAAACACATTCAACAATGGGGATAATTGGTATGATCATGATTATTAAGATTATATGAAATATTACTATTACAATTTACAATGGGAAAACCATCTACCAACTGTTGCCGGATTTCTTCCATCCGCGCTATCACAAAACAAACTTTTCTATTCTAAATTATGATATAACTAGACTATGATTACGGCTATAAAACTGTTACATCCGGACTTGAATTATGACTCATGCTCATGCCTCACGACTCATGACTCAGACTCATAGCTCATAACATAACTCATGACTCATGACTCATGACTTTCTAAATAACAAGCTAAGAGACAACAAACAAGACATTTCTCCTGCCTCTACAAACATCCAACAATGCAACAGCTGGATGGAACATGACTCATGACGATTAACAAAAAAAAGGATTTCTTCGTGTTTCCGATTCTGATCATCAAAAGTACCCTTGGACCCCACCGTCCCACAAAGACCTTGGAGTTGGTGCTTCCCTGGATTGCCTCCGAAGCTTTGCGGAACTGCTCTTTGGATTCCTCTTTGGAGGAAAAACCTTCCTCCTTCACTCGTGAGGTGCTCATCCGCATGCCTGACATCATCAAGGTATCTTGTTCCATCGGCACACACAGCATGCCACGCTTGGGATCCTTTTGCAAGGTCAATCCAAGCGTCTTCGTCAGGTAGTTCTTTCTCTCACGGTCTGTCCTCAGCTTCTGAGCCTTCTTGCTCTTCTGACAGTGCTGCTTGATGTATTCGCCCATCGGGATGAGCTTTGAGACCTGGCACTGGGCAGCATGCAGCATAAAAGCAAAAAAAATGCTTGGAGGACTGAATGGCCAAAAAACCTCTGGCTTGTATGTCCTGTATGTCTCAAAAATAAAATGACCATGCCCAGACTATGACTATGAATCGGGGTTGGGCCCGTGGCCATTGGATAATCAATTCCATTTTGGCAAGAAACGAGTCACGATGTGATTATGTGTTGAATTCCTGCATCACATAATATCATATAATTTGTGTAGTACAGTATAGATTAAATATAAACATATTGTAGACTGTATATGTATAATGAATATTTAAATGATAATTTATATAAAGATGATATAAATATATAATATGATTTAAGACTAATATAACTTACTCATAATTATCTTATTCTAGAATTTTATTAAATATAATATAGAATTTAAAAAATATTATATTATATTAATTATATTTATTTAAATTCATAATTCATAATATATTATATTAATATTAAAAACAATGTAATGTATTAATGTATTGATTGTATAAGTAAAATTACAAGACTATAATCAGTGCAATTAAAATATTATATTTTTTGAAAACATCTAGCATTAAACTATAATCATAGTCATAGTATATATACAAATATACAGATATTATTATTATGATATACAGATATATACAGTATAAAATATGTAGTAAGTTGTAAAGTTATAAAAAAAACATGGAAATTATAAAAATGTGTAATTATAAAATATAAATGAAATACTAAAATTGGAAAAGTAATGGCTCGGCACACAAAAACTTAGTCGCAACAATCATTATGGAACCTTTGTGCCTTTACTATTCTTGGAGTTGCTAGGGTATGATAATAATATTATATGATGGCTTTATATGATATGATATATATGGCCATATCATATCAGATGAAATTACATATTAATTTAATTACAGATCAAATCATGTATATGACCGGTGCTGCTGCTGATGCTACTGCCATGGTTTACTGTTCACAGCTGGGCCTGCTGGAAGTCAACATACTGCTCCTCACTTCGACGAACAAGAGCAGCGACATCGACCTTCTCATGACGAACTCGTTTGCGAGGCATCAGCGCAGCTTCCTTGCATCGCTTTTTTCGCAACTCCAAGAACCTCAATCCAAGTGCTCGATCATGTTCAATCAACAATGAAATGATATGGCAAAAAACCTAGTTTTGAACATGATTCACTTTCAGACTAACTACCTTCTGGAGGGATCTCTGTTTATAACAAGTAAAAACAATCCTTCTGAATCCTTCTGCAAGAACCCAAGCCCGAAGATCTTTGATAACAAGCCATCTACGGCAGGCCCATCTGAAAACCAAGAGCCAAGGAGCTTCTCTCTCACCATCTCATGCTGCTCCATCTGTGCCGTGAGCTCTGTCTGCTTGGTATTGAAAGAACCACGTTGTACATAGAAGCAAATAGAGCATATGGTGGCTGTCGGCTTCGGTCGGGTCACCAAAAGCTCCTCCTCTTCTGGACAATCCTGTGTGTGCAAAGCTGGCCCCAGCCACCACAAGTGATATGGACTGCTACATACAGTGCTAACTATGACTATAACATCTATAAAATCAATTTGATCCAGGGTCCACTAGTACTTATTGAATTTATATATATATATAATTTCTATAATTATATAATTTATAATAATGCGGCATGCGGCATGCGCATCTTATCTTACATCGTATCTTAGATTGCGCAAGCCCCAAAAAGATGAAAAAAATGAACACCTGAAAGGTATGTCGGAACATAATCTAATTATCTCTAGTCTCTAGTCTATAGCTACATCTATAACTGCCACATACGGGGGAAATAGTTAATATAATATCTTTTTGGGGACATCTACAATTTGCTTAATGGATTGATAAATATACATGTTTCATGGAATGATTCGGAATGATGATATCAAAGCACAACGAGATTCATTGACATGGGCGTCTGCAAAGTCTACACTCGCCAGTCTAAGACTCATGTATGACAACATGAATGTAGTGGATATGGTATGTACGCAAAAACATAATAATATAATATAATTTATAATATTATTATTTTATTATATTATATTTTAAAATATTTTAAATATTATATTAAATTATATTTTATATAATTATATAAATGTGATTTGATATGACTCTGACTATTACAAATTAAATGCTTTACATTGAAGCATTCCGTGGGCCCCTTAGCTTGTCCCTTGTGGTCCAATCCCAACAACTGGCCTGGTCTCTTGTCCCAAAATCTTGCTTGCAATGTCTGCATGACTTTTCCGTCACATCATCTGTGACTTCATCAACCTCCCGGTCTGCCATCCCTGCTGTGAGGGCAAGGGGTCTCAGAAGCTTTCAACCTCAAAAATCTAAGCCAGTGGCAGCCTAAGCCCAAAGATCACAGGCACATTGTGGGTATGCAATATCTGGTTGGCTGGTGGGTGATACAGTGATACGCCCTAACGAAGAAAAGCGGATGTGGAAAGGTGAGCCAAGCATTGAAACTAGCAAACATCCCAATTTAAGTGCTTAGCAAATTAACAATGGTGTGGTATCATTAATGTCTTGATCTACGCAAAACCATGGTCATATCCTGAATTGGGGATAAGGATAAGGATACGGAATGAATTGAAAGATAGAACCTGGTGTATTCAGGGCCAGGCTATCCATTGTCCATCCTATCAATGGTGGATATGATAGTGATAGAATCCGTGTTTTTATATTGTTTAAATAATGATAAATTACATGTTGTGAATTATGTAAAAATCTCCCCAGAAGGTGAATTGGTGCTGGCGGTTTAATAAGCCTGTAATAATTAATCCCTTGAATCCCTTTGGGGTATGGTTCCATCCGCGCTATGATATGACTGATCCTTCAACCAAACCCACATAGAATGATCATTTCAAATCGTACCGTAGATGCTACCCTCTGGTCATTTAACATAGTTACGGAATAGGTAAACCGGTAAACCATAGAAAATATCTGTAAACAAACCATTTTCCATACCTATGATGACCAAAGTGTAGATAGTATTTAAAGTTTATTGCTATGTCCACAATATATATTTCAACATATTTTACAATATTGGCATGCCAATGGGTGAAAATGATACACCAAAATAAATTGTTCTTATAATAGAAAATTGTATCAAAAGGATGATTTAGGGGTACCATCATTTTTGAAAACCTCCATATACACATTGATATATGTATTATATAATGTATATATATAATATAATATAAATAATATATAATATATAATATAATAATATATAATTTATATATATAATATAATATATAATAATATAATATAATATATAATATATATATATATATTATATAGTATATAGATATAATATATATATATTATTATATATATAATATTATAATTAATATATTATATAATTATATATCATCTATCAATTCAATCATTATATACCCAAAGAAATGACAAGCTTGCGTGGCATGCTGCCTCTGCATGTGATTGCTACAAAAACTCATGTTTTTGCCCCTGACTTGAAGAATCAATTCAAACACGCGCGCCCTGGGCCAACGATAAATAACAAGACTAGTCAGACTAATCTGATTTTTGAAAAACAATCATAGGCAAAAGTAGCGTGCATCAAAACCCATTCCATGCTGCATGATGTGACCCTGACATTGATGAAGAATAATGTGAAAATCAAAATCATATGAATCATCATATGGTATCAGTATATCGGTTTGTAAAAAAAAATATAAACTCATATATGCCGATGCCGATACCAAATAATATATTTTGCGAGCATGTAATGCTTGCTTCATCAATGCCTATTATTCCCCACTTCTGATTTACACACATTGACTGCAGGCTCCCTGCATTGACTGCAGCTGCCACTGCGATTTCTTGATTTTCCTCCCTGGCCGGATGCGCTGCATCAAATCTATGCCTGAAGCACGCGCTGGACTTGAAGTACCCAGACACATTTATGGAAAAACATGTATTATATAATATATTTATATATATATATGAATAATACCATGGTCAGGTACCAGTGGGAAAATGAATGTTCACCCATGGCCCTCCACCATTCGTCCCCACCATTTAACATAGGTTCCCCATGGCATAGACCCTTGTCAACCCCATAGAGATAGGTCTTTACCGAAAGAATATGTGGCATCCCAATGCTTACATTATATACATAAGTTACATAATGTGTTATTTTTCACAATATATAATATATATAATATATTATATTAATATCATATTATATTAATATTATATTATATATTATTTATTAAATTAAATATTATATATTAACTGTGCAATTTCACTAAAAAAATCATTTGAAAGATAGATAGTACTAGTACATACTAAATTATAAAATTATATTATATATTGATATAATTGAACAATATAATATACTATGTAATGTAATATTTATTGAATAATATAAATTATATTAAATGAATTATATAATTATATAATATATAAATATAATTTTAAATATAAATTGATATTATTATATGAAAGATAAACACAAAATCCCCATCAAAATAGGAATGTGGTCCATGATTGTGCAATGATAAGATCTGCGCATCATGTAGACTTGCCTAGATTAAACAACAGTGCATTATATATCTGTCACTGAGTCTCAAAGTAGTATTTATCCAAAATTGTACAATTTTCAGTGTATGTATACTATACAGATACACTGTATACCAGTGCCCTGTATGCTTCAACTCTAAACTTATTTATATCGACCCTGTACACTGATGAGTACCAGTATCAGTATCAGGAAAACATAAGAGTAAGTTGCAACTTGTAATTGTAGGTAATCAAACATACAACCTGGAAAAAACAACAACAACCAGAAACGAAACCACTAGTAGTAGTACTAGTTACTTAGTTACTAACTTATTCAAAGTCCTCATGTTTCCAAACTACCTGTGCCATATTTTGATTGAACTGAGAGCACATCTACTTCCGCATACAGCAATCATACATAC